GATTCGCTACACCGGTTCCCTTCGATACATAGCTGCACATACTTTCCTCATTTTCGTTCGGTTAAATTACATGTTTTCTAGCATTTATCGAAAAGACAGCCCGTGTATTACTCATGTTGGACAGGTTAGTTAAAAAAAAAAAAAAAAAAAAAAAGAAAGAAAAATTGTAAAACGCAAAATAAGCGATCCTCGATGTATTATTATTAGCTACATATTCGTCGCTGTTCAATAGTTCATAAAAACCGATCGGCGTGATCGCTCGTCGTCTGCCAGTTATCGGTCAGATATCGCGAGCATCGTCGTACGATTGTGTCACGCAACAGAGAGAGAGAGAGAGAGAGAGAGCGAGCGAGCGAGCGAGCGAGCGACGGAATAAGAGGTGAGGGAACGATCGAAAGACGAGCACGGCGACGAAATCGCGGATCGAATATGGGTGAATGGAGAGTGTGGCTGGTCGCGGCGACGCACACGAGCGCCGCGGCAAGCGCAGGGCGCGCGATCCTCGAGCGAGCGAGCGAGCGAGCGAAGCCAGTGCGAGTGCAACGTTTCTCCCGCTAGTGTCAGTGCCAGTGCCAATCGTGCGCCATTCCTACCGTTTGCCGGAAGACGAGACAGGCGTCCAGAGATCGCGTGCCTCTCCCCCTCTCTTTTTTTTTCTTCCTTCTCGTTCCACTCGTCTACGTACACGCGTTTCGAACGGAACGATGATCGTTTGACGGTCGAGGATCATTGGATTCGAGGAATGGACTGATATATCGAGCGAATATATATATATATATGTACATAGATATCGGTCGAAACGTCTGTTTTTCTTGAACAAAAGGTGTTGTCGGGACGATGGATATTTAGGAAAGCGTCGTCAAACGTTGAACGAGATTGGTTGGATATTTGTTCGGCGAAACGGTTAAGGTTAAAAACTTGATGTATACGCTATATTATACGCTATTATACGCCGTTTTCTCTCGGTTGTTGGATGGACGCGGAGACGGGACGCGGAGACGAGACGAGACGAAACGCGAGAGAGAGAATGACGCGAGTCCACGGATCGTACGATCGATCAATTTTCAACCAGGGAGGGTAGCTCTGGTAGGCAACAAGCAGCAGCGTGGCTTGTATCGTTACATAACTTCGACGCACTCGGTTATTCGAACGGCAAAACCACTGACAAACACACATACACACGGCGGGGGGACAGCGTGTAATTTTCTTCCCATGCTCGCGAAACCGGACACTACCACACACCACTAGTTCTTTTCCACTTCGTTACGTCCCCTCTCCCCTCCCTCCCTCTCTCCCTCCCTCCCCACCTCGCTACGTAAACAAGTTCGCGTTTCCTTCTTTAATCGCCTACCGATTTTCGACCGTGGAGACGTGTCAGGAAGAGAGGCTCGGTTTCTTGTATCTCGGCCAAAAAAGTCTCTCTCTTTCGGCATCGTGGTGAAACGTCATTCTCAACTACTCGCGCGGGGTAACAGGAAGTTGTTGTCGCGTTGTTTGTTCCGTTTCAAGGGCAGTACGCCCGTAAGCGAGGAAGGATCGGATTCGAAACGGCGAGGTTTTTCGTTCGTCGATCGTGTGCTTTTTCGATCGGTGCCAAACGGACGACGAGAAGGCGGACGGCCTCCCTTTTTTCTCAGGGCGAGGAGGAGGCCCCCGAGAACGAGGCAAAGGCCGCCCAAGAAGAACGCGTGTCGACTGTGATTCGTGCCAAAATCGTTGGGAAACTCGCGCGACGCTCTCCGCTCTCTTCTCTCGTCCCGGACTCTTTTCGTGGCTCTCCCCCCCCTCCTCGTTATCGACATATCGTGGATAATCGAAAAGAAAAAGAAAAAGTAGGAGGAGGAGGAGGAGGAGAATGAGACGATGATCGCGAGACACGTGGGCGGGAAATTTTGAGGGAGGAGAACGGAAGAATAGGCGGAAGAATGGGAAAACAAGCAGCAAGGGTGGGGAGGGAGGGGCTTACCAGATGGGCAGATCGGTGGAAAGAGGGGATTGATCCCACGTGCTCGATTGCACAAGTAACCCGGCGGTCGGCCGTCACTCTATTTTTAACAATACCGGCCGCATATTTAACTCGCACCTAACTCAACCTAATCTCTCTCTCTCTCTCTCTCTTTCCTTCCTTCCTTCTCGACGCGTTTCGTCGTTTCAACGGTGATTCCCTTTTTTTTTTCCCCTCTTCGTTCTCGCTCAGTTATCGAAATCGAAAATCGGTCGACGAGGATTTTGGATCGTCGAGAAAGAGAACCAATCCCCCCCTCTCTCTCCCTCTCCCTCTCCCTCCTCCCCTCCCCTCCCCTCCCCTCCCTTCCCCTCCCCTCCCCTTCCTTCCTTCCTCGGAGGTATCGCTCATATCTCGCGGGTCGACAACACGTTGTCGCGAAGCGTACGAGGTCGCGCCGTTTATTTTCCTACTTGAGCGGCTCGGCAGAATTCATCTCGCTCGCCAACAACACTCGAAGAAACGGTCGAAGACGAACGACCGTTGGCCCAACTAAAAATAAGCCCCGCTCGAAGCCGCGTTTTTTTCTCGTGCTACTACGTGCCGTTATGCAAGTCGATTCGCGAACTCGCGCCCGCTCGAGAGGAGAGGAGAGGAGAGGAGAGGAGAGGACCGAAGAAGCGAGGTATGGTGGAGATTCTCCAACCGCAGAATTGTTCGACGAATCGGAAGGAGGGCGGACTCTCCTCTTCTCCTCGAACTTGGCCAAACTTTCCAAGACCGAGTTTCCAAAGACCGTTCGATCGATCGAGATTCTCGCTCGTGATTTGCACGCAGCCACGAGGCGGCTGCAACCCAAGCTCCTGCCGTTCCACGTTTGGGGTCCCGCTGGTCAATTTGCGACAATTACCGAGCCGTTGCGACTGGTTAAAGTTAGTTAGTGCTCGGCTCGGTCTACACGATGCGCAACCTAAGCGCGAATATCGTCAGACTTTTCTCTCACCGTTTTCACGCTTCCTCTCTCTCTCTCTCTCTCTCACTCACTCACTTTCGTCGAGTTTAACTTTCGGTGTTTAAACTCGCAACGTGTCCCATATCCCATGTACGATCTATCACAGGCAAGTTAATATTGGAAATTGCGTTTTCGCGTCTTTCGTCCTAATTTCTTTCCTTATTCGTGGCGATATAATATCCGTGACGACGATGAACGAGTTGTCGTTCGTGAAAATTTATTATTCGTGGCCCTGTTCACAGAGATTACGCCGCGCTGACGTTCGATGGGCCGTTTCAAGCAGCCTTAACCTTCGCGATAACCTGTATCGAAAACGGAATATCGAGCGATTCGAACTCCAGTTCGGCTCTGATGCATTTCGACCGATTCTTCTCGACCCAACAATTTTTAATTCTTCGTCTCGAACGAAGCTTTCGCTCGACCTCGTCGCGAATTCGTTTATTTATTATTCGAACGGGGACTAACTTTATCGAAAAGATGGCGAAATTCGCAATCGGATCGCACGAAGATA